CCATCTAACCTGGCCTTGAACACTGCCGGGGCAGCAGGGTTGCTTATACTGTTGCTAAGAGGTTCCAAGTCCTAACACAAGAAGGACTTAAAGATTATCTTTTTTTCTAATTATTATTTCAATTTAACTCCTTTCTCCTACCAATCTTTAATTCAGGACCAAAGGCCTTCTTCCACTGTATATGTTCAATTTTGTTATCTGGTGTGATTTGATGTGTTTGGGTTCTTGTGGGTTTTTTCCTTTATCAGCAGTGAACATAGTACTAGATTTAACCTGGTTCCCTACATCCAGAATGGTGTTAGAGGCATTGGAACAGGCTGCCCAAAGAAGTTGTGAATGCTATAACCCTGCAAGTGTTCAAGGCCAGGATGGACAGAGCTTTGAGCAACCTGGTCTAGTGGCAAGGGGGTTGGAACTAGATGAGTTAAAGTCCTTTCCAACCCAATCCATTCTAGGATTCTATGATGCCAAATAACTTCTTGAAAGCACTTTAAAAGACATGGATTTTAGAGAAAACACCTCAGTAATAGAACAGACCTTATGTTTAGCTGTTCCAAAGGGCTTAATAATAGTTAGGTTTTTGAGAGTCATGTCTCTTAAACTTTATAAAATTTGTCAGTTTCTCTTTCCAGAGGATAAGAAAGGACATGTGGACACCAAAGTTGTTTTACTGATGTCATTTGAATAATTAAGAGTGTCTATTCCAGCGCTGGATATCTAATAATACAGTTAAATGCCTGCATTTTGTTAACTGATGTTGATCAGCTGAGAATAAAATTCACTGAAGCAGTTACAGCTAAATACCTAAATTGGTGGCATTTCACATGAATTACATTGGGTTTAATGTGTATGATGAAAACATAGCTAATCTGTGAGATTTTATTTATTCTACTTGGGAGATTTTTCCTGATGGTGATAGATCTACTACTGAGACAAAAGGAGATTTGCTAGAAGAAGAAGGGCTTTCATCTATCAGCAAATTGATGAAGGATATTTTAAAAGTAATGTCCTAACACTGTTTATATATCTTTCTCCTCTAGATATCAGGGATACTGTGAAGTACAAAGAAGTCATGAAACAGTATCCTTTTTTGTCTAAATAGTGATATTTGAATCTCAGATTTTGTGAAAATAGTCTGTCACCTCTGCACACCACGATGAAGGATGCAGGAGATGGTGTGGATTGCAGTAATACGGGAAGCGTTGTGTAAAGAACAGTAGTTTTTGACCATGTATTTCTTGCTAGTGGGGTTAGAAACATATGTTCCACAAGATTTGGTGCTCCTGTTTCCTGGTCTTCTTTTGAAAAGCTTGTATTTTTCTTTGTGGAAGCCAGCAGACTTTTCCCCATGTTTTAACAACACATTGTTGACCATATACAGCATATAACAATTTTCCACATTGTTTGACCATAATCAAAGTATTACTGTCTTTCTAAATCTCAAAGACATTGGACTGTTGGCTTTTGCTGCACAGAACTTTGGCAGTAACATTACAGTAAAATGGCTGCACTTCAGAGGGGTATGGAGGTCCTTTGTTTCCTAAGTAAGAACTTGTGCAGATGAAGCTAATACACAGTGTTTGGATTTAATTTGCTAGTGTGACTCCTACATTTAATATTTTAAATGGGGTGAAGGTGGTATGGGATGTGATTCTTGGTTTTTGGCTGTTGTGTGATTTAAAGTTACCAGCAAAGCATGCATGTATAAGTTTCACTTTGGTATGTAGATGAATTATTTGCTTTACTGTGTCTACTTTCCTAAATGAAGTGTCTAGATATGGGCTGGGCCCAAATGGTGGAATAGTGACCTCTCTCAATCTTTTTGCTACAAGGTTTGATCAGGTACGAGGTTGTTTGTATGTGATACTGTGCTACAGATACTGTGCTGGGAGACTCTGTGGGTGTTTTCGTGTATTTGGAGCCTGAGAGTATTTAGAGTTCAGATATTTTCCATACAGAACCATGTATTTTACAGTGCAGCAAAACTGCATTAGCTTTCATTTGAGATATTTCACTTTTTCAGCTTTTTTAAAAGTAAAATTTAGAAGCCATGTGTACAGAACATTCTTTAGTCTTTGTACATACCTGTTGTGTGCACTATGTTCTTTCATATGGATGCTCTGCTTGTGAAGTAGGGAAGCTCAGTTCTAGAAACAGGTTAAGTTTTCCTTGGGTTGTTTGATAATTGTTCTCTTAAATCATAATGCTAAATCAACACTGAGGCGGGAACTTATGTATGTTATTGAGACGGTGCACAATCTCTTAGTGAAAAGGTAGCGAACAACTGCATTTGTTACACCATTTCTTTAGCCAGGTACTAAAACACAGACAAAATCAGAATTGTCTTTGACCTATGAAGTCTTGGAGCATTTTCCACTCTTCTTTAGTAGGGCATTTTCACACACTGAAAAGGTTTAAAAGACTTTTATCTTCTTCTGATACATACATGCAGCTGCGCAAGTTAATGTAGTTTATGTTAGGAAATTATTATGAAAGTTTCCTGTTGTGAGCCTAAATACAAAGTATACTTTTTGTCCAATCAGGTGATGAAGTTCATTGAAAAAAGACAAAATGCATCCAAGTGAGTACATTCTACCAAGTTCAAATTTTCTGGGATCAGTGTGGGAAAAACATGTCAAACCCTGAAAATGTGCTCCACCTGTTTTCTAGTTGTTTTTCAGCCTTGGCATGAATTTAATGTGGAAAAGGGCATAGAATTAGACCAGATAAATTAGACTTTCTTCAGATACATTGAAGAAATGTCTGCTGATTCCAGTTTTGCTTTTCTTGTCTTCCATTTGACTGTAATTTTTTTTCTCATGCACTGTTCAAACAGGCAATAATTCTTCTTCTGAAGAGTTTGCAGCACTAAGTGTCTGTCAAATTGATGCCTTTAACAGTAATAGAATCTGGATGTAGTATGTGCTTCTTAGTTACAAAATTCACACAGGAAATTTTCAAGCATGCCCATAAATCTTGTCACTGTTTGGGGGAAGCTTTTCTGATCTTTAACAGAATAATCATGTCATTTGCTGTTACATGCTTGTGGTAGTTTAGTCAGAACAGGACCTATCATTTAACTAATTTTCCCTTTGGGGGGATGACTTCTTACCAGGTATGTTCTTATTGACACACCAGGGCAAATTGAAGTATTCACTTGGTCAGCATCAGGAACCATCATAACTGAAGCCTTGGTAAGTGCTTTCTACATAACTTGGCAGTCATATAGAGGCTGTGTGAAAGAAGTGGCTGTTGAACAGCATGTACTTCTAATTAAAATATCTTTTACTTTGTGTTTCCAGGCTTCCTCTTTTCCTTCAGTTGTTGTTTATGTGATGGACACCTCTCGCAGTACTAACCCTGTTACCTTTATGTCCAACATGCTGTATGCCTGCAGGTAAGCAAAGCTGGAAATGCAGTCTGTGTGCTCTGATTGCTGTGTCCCTTTGGAACTTACTTTGGAGGGGAATCACAGAATGGTTTGGGTTGGAAGGGACCATTAAAGACCACCTAGCCCACACTCCTTGCACCAGGTAGGGACATCTTTCACTAGATCAGGTTGCTCAAAACCTTGTCCAACTTGACCTTGAACACTTCTAATGATGGGGCATCCACAGCTTCTCTGGATAACCTGCTCCAGTGTCTCACCACCCTCATTGTAAAAGATGTCTTCCTTATGTCCAATCTAACTCTACCCTCTTCCAGTTTAAAACCATTGTCCCTTGCTCTGGTCTGCGTCTCCATCTGTCTTATAAGCCCCTTTATATACTAAAAGGCTGCAATAAGGTCTCCCTGAAGCCTTTTCTTCCCCCAGCTGAACAACAAACCCAGCTTCGTGTTAAACCAGGGACTAAATACTTACGTAAAGATCAACATATCTAGAGCTGTCATAATTCATCATAAAAAAATGTTGGCAAAAGGTTTTCAAAAAACTTGTCAATCCTTGTACCAAGGTCAAAAGCTGTATCACTGATAGGAATGTGCATAAGGTGTTTCATTATATGCTGCAATTTCCAACAGCATTGAGCAAAAGGTGCTAGAATATATACAGTGAAATGAACATTTAAGCTTGTGTTTCAAGGTAGCTGTGCTTTATAGATATTTTGAGTTATTTGAATTCATTGCTCGGTTCACAAATAGTATCTCGGAACCTAAAATTTGAGTCAAAATAATTAGAAAATGCAAAGAGAGTCAAAATCAGATCTGACAGTCATAGAAAATAATAATCAAAATCAACTGGGTGTGTGTGAAATTTTATATCTTACGGATGTGTGCTTACATCTGGGGAGCATATTTTGTTCAACTATGATAAGCAGGATCTGGGTAAAAATTACATTCTAATTGATGTGCAGGAAAATAATTATCTTTTGAAGTCAAATGTATTCAGTTTTGCACAAGCCTGGGCTGCCTTATGCTTGTTTGCTATTCTAGTGAGATATAAATTAATTTTTTTCTCTGTGTGTGTGTGTCCGTCCTGCAGTATCCTGTACAAGACAAAGCTGCCTTTCATTGTTGTCATGAACAAAGTAAGTTAAAGCTTTGGTTTCTGTGTCCTAGTGGAACTTTGTTGTTTAGCTTGCTTTGTTGTAGTGTCTTTGTCTTACTTCAATAATAGATTTTCTAGAAAAGAGAGGCTGGGAGGGAGATGCAGGCTGAAAACCAAATCTAAAAGGGTCTTTGGTTGTAAATACACAAGAAGAATCAGGAATGGGCAGTTATATCCAAACACTCAAGTTTGAGATGACACTAACAGTTTCAAAAATGTTTTGTACCTTAACCCGAGGCTATAAGGAAACTTAACTTTGTAACATAAGGGGTAAGTTCATTACTGAATCTGCTCTTCCAGCCCTTCCACTTTCTATTAACAATTGTCTTAATCATTAATTGTTCAGCAGCAGATTTACAGTGAGAATTGCATAACACCTGCCTGTTTTGAGGAAGGAGTCCCATGTATTGTAGCAGGCAAAATTTAAACAAAGGTGTTTGGTCCTGATCAGTGATACTAAAAATCTGTCGGTAGACTGCTTGAATAATAATCCAAGCAAAATTATGGAACCATCTCACCTGTTTGTGTCCATCGTCTTGTACTTAGTTTAGATTATAACTTCTTCAGGTCAAAGCACAGCTCACTTTTTATAAAGATCTTGTAGACTGTTACCCAGTGTGGAAATGGCTCCCTCTCCCTCCTAACCCCCAAGCTAATCAAGAAGGCATGGGATCTCCACTGAGGACTGTTCTTGCCTGGCCTCAGTCACACTATTTCTAATATTTACAACTTAAACTTTCTTGTACAGTATGAAATATTTGGTTGCCCCTTTCCAGTAAACCATAAAGCCTTTAGACTTACAATTGTTTCCTTACACATACCTTCTTAAAACTGGGATAGCAGTTGTTTATCTTCTCAGTTGGTTTCATATAAAACAGAGCTTGAAAAACTTCAGACCAGGGCTGAGTATCTTCAAAAGATCAGTACTTTGAAAGTAAGTTTAAAATGCAAATTTTATTTGTCCACTTAACAACCTAAGACTAAGAATTCATCATTATTACTTCTGAATGTTTTCTCTTCTCCTTCTAGACTGACATAATTGACCACAGTTTTGCAGTGGAATGGATGCAGGACTTTGAGACTTTTCAGGATGCCCTGAATCAAGAGACATCCTATGTCAGTAACCTGACTCGTTCTATGAGTTTAGTGTTGGATGAATTTTACAGTTCACTGAAGGTAAGAATCTTCCTTTTTTTCACTACCTCTCATAAAAGCCTGGAGAAGAGAAAGCTCAAGGATGTCACTGATGTGTATAAATACCTGATGGAAGAATGTAAGGAGAAAGGCAGGGTCTTTTTAGTGGCACCCAGTGAAGGCAATAGGACAAGAGTCAATAGACATGAAGTGAAACAGGAAACTGTTTAAACAGAAGGAAAAAAAAGAATTACTGTATTTTACTGATTGAGCACTGGAATGGATAATCCAGAGAAACTGCGGAGTATCCATCCTTGGAGATACACAGAACATGTTCAGACAAGATCTTGTGCAACCTGTCCTAGTTAATCGTGCTTTCTGAGCAGGAGAGGTTGGACTAGATGATTGCCAGAGGTATCTTATAACCTCAACTGTTCTGTCTTTCTCTAAAAGGGTTTTGCACCGCCCTTTTGAGCTGGAATCTGTTGATGACCCTTGCATTTTGGGGGCAAGGACTTGCTGATTTGAACATAAAATAACTTTAGTTGCTTGTCCCACTGAGTGAAAGCCTGAGTCATTTACTGCTGAATTGTGATTAATCTCTAAAGAAAGCTAAGATAGGCTGGTAAGAGGTAATGTTCTGTGTTCCAGTGTCTCCCATCTGAGACAATTTTCCTTGTTCTGAAAGTGTCAAGTACAGTTGACAATTTACTATGCAGGAAGAAGGGAAAGAATCTCAGAAACAAATAAAATTTGTGTATTTGTTGACTCAAGAAAAAGGTGTTCTTTTTTTCCCCAGTTACCGGGTTTTAAGAAGACAAATCAATTCAGTTTCTCTGAAAACACTAAATATGAGAGGATGTTGATGATCGGATAGTCTGTGCTAGAAGAGTTCAGTTAATTGTGTTTTTCATCAGCTTTTACTTAAGAAAAAACAAGCAGCTGGCTTTATGATTATTACAAGAAAGGTAATGAAAATAAATAAGTGATTCCATTCATACAGATAATGATGATTTAGCCAAAACAAAAATATTATAAGTGCCCTATATGGAACAATATGCAGTATTTCAAAACAGATTGTAGTGGTGCCATATAGGACTAAAGTACTTCATAGTCCTTATTTGCTAATCAACTTTTTATATGCATGTCAAGCCTATTAGAAAAGTAGACTGGAGAGCAGGGCATATGCAGAGGATTATAGAGTAGAAGGCAGCTTGTACTTAAGTGCAATGAAAGTATAAATATTTATATTGGCACAGTGCCTAGACTAATGCTTAAAAATCCTTTGCAATGCTTGATTGTCTGTATATTTACTGTACTATTGATAAGATGCAAGGCTTTTGTTTGTTTGGAACAAAAGTCTTCCATTTAAAAGTGAGTAGTTAAGACTGTCTTGCTTATGAAAAAGAGGGAGAATTTTCATTAGAGGATGTAAGATTGTTAAGGGTGTTGTGGTTTAAGCTCAGCCGGCAACCAAGTACCACAATGAAATCAGGACAAATGGTCACCAAGTACTGGCAGATGAAAGTCTTAATTAAAGGCATTTTTGGATCATTGATTTAATGAAAGCAGAACAAGTGTCCAGAACTGTAATGACAGACAAGTTCAAATTAGAAAGCAGATGTGCAATTTGAATGTATCGTCATAATAGCTGATTAAATTCTCCAGCTCTCACTGTTCTGGGGGTTGGATTGGGTACCTCTTAAAATTTGCTTCAGCTAAATGCAAAGTATTGGACAGAAAATCAAAGGCAAAAAGCAAGTTCTTGTGATCTGCTTTGCTCTTTAATTCTAGTACACTGATACTGCAGCATTCATACTAAGCACTTATAATATGGTTCAGAATGAGAACTTGGATTACTAAAAATAATCAAACAGAAGAAAGACTTGATCATTCTTTTGAATTGCCCTATCTTGTTCATTATGTTTAGGCATTATATTGTCTCTGTGGTTTTTTGGGGGTACTGAGGTTGGAGCTATGAAGATGGGTGCAGAGTCAGTTGTGGTTTTTGTTTTAACTGTTGCTTCCCTCCCCATGGTAAAATTAGTAAAACAGACAAGAAAACCCAGGTTCTGAGTTAAATAGAGGGAAATAAAGGAAAAAACCCAAACCACACCCCTCCATAACAAAACAAAAAACCCAACCAACCAAAAAATTGAGCTAGCAAGCATTAACATCAGGTAGAGAAAGAGGTTGCAAGTAGGAGTGGCAGAAGTGGAAGTATTACTGCATACTGTCATGCCACTGTGATGATTAAATAGGTATCTTTAAATTCCACTGGGTTGTTTTAGTGAGGTGGATTGGGAGGGGGGCTTATTTTTAAGATGCTGCTGAATCTTCCCAGCTCTGATCATCCATCAGTTACTTAAAAACTTGGTTCAATTCTCTTCATTTCTGGTCTATGGTTTTCTTTTATAGGTGGTTGGTGTTTCTTCTGTGGTTGGCACAGGACTGGATGATTTTTTTGTTCAGCTCTCTAAAGCTGTAGATGAATATGAAAGGTAAGGTGATAACCTTTGGTCCCCGACCCAGTGAAGACTTGCTGAAGTTACTGATTCATGAGCCCACTCCTTTGATTTGAAGGGCTATACACTTTTCACAACCATTGTAGTTCAGGGTTTCTAACAAACTTAAGTGCAAGAGTCAGCATGAAAAGCAGCATTGTCCCTCCCAGTATCCTCATATCTAAATTGGAGAGACATCAATTTGATGGATGGACCATTCAGTGGATAAAGAACTGGCTGGATGGCTACACGCAAAGAGTCGTGGTCAACAGCTCAATGTCCAGTTGGAGACCAGTAACGAGTGGTATCCCTCAGGGATCGGTGTTGGGACCTGTGTTGTTCAACATCTTTGTCAGTGGCATGGACAGTGGGATTGATGTGCCCTCAGCAAGTTTGCCAACGACACCAAGCTGTGTGGCTCAGTTGATACGCTGGAGGGAAGGGATGCCATCCAGAGGGACCTTGACACGCTTATGAGGTGGACATGGAGCTGTTGGAGCAAGTCCAGAGGAGGGCCATGAGGATGATAAGAGGACTGGAGCACCTCCCGTATGAAGACAGGCTGAGAAAGTTGGGGCTGTTCAGCCTGGAGAAGAGAAGACTGCGTGGAGACCCCATAGCAGCCTTCTAGTATCTGAAAGGGGCCTATAAGGATGTTGGGGAGGGACTCCTCATTAGGGACTGTAGTGGCAGGGGAAGAGGGGGGGGGGGGTAAAAGAAGTTTAGATTAGATATAAGGAAGAAGTTCTTTACAGTGAGGGTGGTGAGGCACTGGAATGGGTTGCCCAAGGAAGTTGTGAATGCTCCAACCCTGGCGGTGTTCAAGGCCAGGCTGGACAGGGCTTGGGGCAACCTGGTCTAGTGGAAGGTGTCCCTGCCTGTTGCAAGGCAGGTTAGACCAGATGACATTTAAAGATCCCTTCCAACCCAAACCATTCCATGATTCTAAGGAGAGAGTATCCACATCCACTTTATCCTTCGTTCATTAGAGAAATACTTCAAAGGTCCCATAGTAGTACAAGAGTTTGGAGGTCTGTGAACAGCCTTGCTATATGAGCTCCCATTGAACTGTCTTAGGGAGCACAAGTCTCGGCAGAGAAAGTCATGTCTGTGATTAGAGTGATAAATCTACTGATTTGATTAGCACTAAAATTCCTACCTTAGTTGAAGTGATGTCATTTCTTTTAAGATGTTATGAGAAAGGTTTGCTATTTTAATGAAGTATGTTTGCTTATTTTGTAACCATTGGTTTCAGAATCCAGATCTGGATAAAAAGTACCATTAGTCTTTCTGAAACATCTCTCAAACATGAAGAGAAAACTTTTCTAGAGAAAATTGGTAGAAATAAGATAATCCTTACTTAATAAAAATTATATATTAGTTCACACTGAGTTCACTCTATTTACATTTTCAGAGAATATCGTCCAGAATATGAACGCCTGAGAAAAACACTGGTAGGTATTTCTAGATTTTATATACCTGGGCAGCGTATCTTGGGGTCACTTTTATGCACACAATTGCTTCTTTGTTGTGAGGATCTAACATTTCATTTACAAATCATACTCAATGTGGAAAAACTCCTGTTCTGAAGCTCAGCATCTATGTTTTTTTCCTAGATATGATGGAGCATATCTTCACAAATATAACAATGTGTTTTAGATCAGATGTTGCTCAGTGGTTTAGTGCTAATAATTTATTTAGGCAAATTGTGAGAAAATTATTGGGAAAGATTTTTCTATCTTCCTGCAGAATTCAGGAATGATAGAGACTTTTTTAAAAATAACTCAGCAAAGTGATCTGTTGAGAATCACGGTATCTCTTTGCACCAGTGAAAGGTACTGTTTTGAGTGAGACAATTAATAATGAAGACTGAATTGCAGTACCAAAGTCATTAGCTCTGCTCATCTTGAGCTCTAGCTGTCCAAAGGACAGTTCTCTGTAGGCACAACTTCATTTGAATTTGGCTTCCTGATACTGCTGAAAAGGTTATAGAAATCCATCATGCTGGAGGTTGCTTTCCATGTTTATCCAAGCATGTGTAACCTTAGTTGTAATGTAAGATCTGCTTACTGACTTCTGCTTTCTGGCTGGGGGACAGACTGCTCTTCTTGGGTGAGATGACTCTTCTACTGATCTACTGATGTTTTAGGAGTACTCAGAATCCATGTGTAACTTTGCATGTACAGGAGAAAGCTCAAAATGAACAAAAGAAAGAGCAGCTGGAACTCTTACGGAAGGACATGGACAGCGTCTGTGTGCAGGGTAAAACACTTGCAGGTATGTTAGTAGGAAGATACAAGTTTACTGCAGAAGTTGTCTGAAGAGTCTGCCTTGAGAAGTCACGTAGTGCTTTTCTGTCTTCACAGCGAAAGTGTGAAAGCAGCTTCATATTAGGAAAGAAGAGTGGGGCTTTAGTTCCTGTGGGGTCAGACTTAGCTCTTCTTTATGTCAGTCACAGACATGAAGAAACCCTGCTGTGTAGATAAAGTGGGTGAAACTGTCAAATTAGAAATGAGAAAGCTCTGCTTGTTAGTTGAACTGTTGCCTTTTATGAGGTTGAGTATGGTGCTGATGCAGGCTGTCCTGTACCTTCGGAATCCACAAGCAGCTTTCTGTCCCTTTTGAGGAGGCATTTACTGCTGTGGTTTTGTGCAAATAGAAATTGTTGAGGCACGAACTTACTTGTTAGCCTGCTGTTTTCTGTATAGCTATTTCTGTTCACTTCAAGGGTCTGATGATGCATCTGCAATGGGTCCCTCTGAGCTGATCCTAACACGAGGAACTCTTGATGAAGAAGAAGAAGAGAGGGAGAGTGATACTGATGATATCGACCATGAAGGTAAGGGAATAAGGGATCTGATCTGCTCTAAAAACTGCCTGTCTAGTCAGGAAATAACTCCCTGTATTTCATTAACTGGATTGACTGAATTGAGAGCCCAGAAAATAAGCATTATCACCTAAATATAGGTGTCTGAATCTGTAGCAGAAGCCCAGCTGCAATGCTTAGTCCAGTGATACAACTTTCTAATGTTTTTGTGAAAGTTCAGTTCTAAATTTTTGATACAGGTAATTATTTTTAATAGGTGCATAACATGCATAAACCAGACAAACTTGTTATGCTTGAAGCACACAGTGACCTCTGAATCTAATTAACACACAATATGTTTCATTATCTTTTTGGCTTTACAGTTTCTGCTGCTGCCTCTCTTCCCTTTTCCTGTGACTCCTGATCTTGAAGCAATCTTCTAAATTCTTCCAGTGTGTGATTTTTCTCTTATACAGCTCGCAGATGTAATCTTTGTTCTTTCCCTGTTCTGTTGATTTTTAGGATAACATTTCTTTTGCCTTGTAATGAAGTTGAAGATCAAATAGACTTCATGTGTTGCTGTACCTAGCCTGTCTCAAGCTTTCTTCAGTAACAGTAGAACAAGTGCTGAAATAGTGCTGAAATGTGGATTTTTTTTTCCCCCAGTTACTGAGGAGAGTCATGAAGAACCAGCCTTCAGAAACTTTATGCAAGAGACGCGGATGAAATACCAGAGAACCAGCAACCCAAATGAATGAGACCTTCAGAAACAGATGGTTTGGAATCCCTTATAATGGAGTTAAAAGTAAAGGAACAGCATAAACTTTCATGGAACCGTGCATGAAGTCTTCTGTCTGTCAACAGCTTCCTCTGACATATTTCTGTCTTTCTCCCTGCAGTAACTTTTGGTCATATGAGTTGAAGGTCTTGTAACCAACTGACTGTGCGTTTGGCCATCTGCCACTAGGACTTCTTGAAGCTGAAGGAAGCAGATAACACTTTCTTTTGCTCCAGATTCTTTAGATGTGCCTGTTGAGAGCATCTAGAGTACTTTCTGGTCTCCAAAAATGCATTTTGTTCACCTTGGGCAGACAGGTGTCTGCTGCAGCCAGGACACAAGTGATATCTCTGGTGTGTGAAATTTCATCAATCTAGTATTTGATGGTTTGGTTTTAATTAAATATATTTTATGTACTAACAAATGTGTGATAGTTAAAGGAAGAAGATTTCATGTTACATGCAAGAACTATTCCTGTGCTAAGAGCCCATCCATATGGATGCATAGCAAACACATCTTAATTACGTTATATAGACACAATACAGATGTGTGGAGAAGATCCTGAGTAAAGGAAGTTCCCAGGAGGGAAAGTAATAGAAAGAATCTGGCTTGATTTGGCAGAGAGCCAGTGAACAAGCCCAGCATTCTTAGGCTGTCTGGAGGAGAGGTGCTCCAGCCCACTGATCAATGATTGTAGCCGCCTTCTGGATCACTTCAACGGGTCCATGTATTTCCTGTGCTGAATACTCCAGAGCTGAACATAATACTCCTGGTGGGGTCTTACAAGAGCAGAGTAGAGGGACAGAATCACCTCCCTTGACCTGCTGGACACACATTCTTTTGATGCAGCCCCATATACAGTTGGCTTTCTGGGCTGCGAGTGCACACTGCCAGCTCACGTACAGGTTTTCATCCACCAGTACATGAAGTCTTTCTCCGCAGGGCTGCTGCCAACGCCTTCATCCCCAGGCCCTTTGGCCTTTGTTCATTCCGTCATTACTGACCGAAAACCAGACGCTTTTTATAAACCTTGTCATGTATTTACATAGTTTCTTCACTGCAAAAGCAGTAGTAGCGGTACTGCTTGTGGGGCACCGCCATACTCCTGGCTGCTGTCCACCGGTAACGGTGATGCGGTGCCGCGCTTGCTACTCTCCCAGTGAAGCATTGACCAGGTGTTTGTGGGCCCGTTCACTCGGTGGTGGTTTGGTCCCTCCGGCACGCTGGCTTGCGCGTACATGGTGCCCAGGAGAAGCATGGCAGCGCACAGGGAGTGGACCCCAGCACGGGCAGGTGAGGGCCTAGGCCATGGGAGAAGGAGAGGGGGAGGAGAGAGAAAAAGAGGAGAAGAAAGGGAGGGAGAGGAGAGGGAGCCCCTTCTGTGGGTGCGGGTGGAAGGCCAGGAAGCTCAAACCAGCTGGTGCTGCAGCTCCTGCTCAGCCGGGCAGCCCTGGGGAGTTCCCTGGGAGCTGGCAGAAGGGAAGAGGGAAATGAGGCGGACATCCCTGACTCGCCAGAGCTCCCCCTGAGCCTGCCGTGGCCCTGCTTACCTTGTGCAGCAGCTCTCAGTTCCATTGCCTCCCGAAAGCCTTTCTCATCTCTCCAGGCTTCTCCCTAGCCCTCGTGTGATCTCAAATGTGTTTCCAGAAGGCCCAGCAGAAGGAGGGTCTCTGGCCAGGGGCAAACAGGTAATAGCAGTCACTGATGCTTTATTCCCTCTCCTAGAGGCCCTGCTGAGGATGTGGTTGTCTGTTCTTCCCCTGCGGATGCTGCTGTCTGCACCTGCCTCACACTTAGCATGTGCTCTCTCTGCCCGGCCTTCCTGTCCTTGCATCATGGGGGTGAAAAGGGAAAACTTTTCACTCCTATGTGGAGCACTTAGCAGCTGTGGATGGGAGCTGCCACAGCTGAAGCTGGAGAAGCCAGAGAGAGGTATAGAAGAAGAAATCGAAGGCCAGCCAGCTGGCAGCTGTCTCCCACTGCACGCAAGAGAAGACCACACCTCTCCAGCTGAGGAAGGGACCCTTGTCCTAGTCTGTGGCAGGCCAAGGACTGTATGTGTCACTGGCCACGTAGTGCACGAGTGATTGAGGCTACATGTTGAGGAAGCTTTGTCTCAAAAGAGCTGCAGACATCTACGTAGTCTCATTAGGTGGAGAACAGCCAAGCAACGGGAGTTACAGAAGAGAAAGGGAGGAGAGAAGAAAAAAGAAGCATCTGAACTGTCAAATTCTCCCAGCAGCAGCGAGAGCTGCGGGGAGCCTCAGGCCCTTGGGGCCCAGTCATCTGTCATGTGTGTTGGGCCTTTCCCAACATATCTTTCCTCCACGCGTCCGATACTGCTAGAAGCTGCCAAAGAGTGGCCCATAAGTAGCACAGTGGCAACAGGCAGGATCTTTGCAAGATAGCTTTTAGTTGCATCACAAAAAAATCAGTATTTTCAGTTATACCAAAGTCTATTACTGGAAAGCTGGAACCAGACTGATCTTTCCAGATGGTTGTTAAGTGTTTTAGTACAAATGTTCCTCCACAGGAATGTAAAACCAAGTCCTACATACATAGCAGGTGGGTCCTAGGAGCCCTAGATTTATACTGCATGGTTTGTGTGAGTCAACCGTGGATAACTAAAACTGCATAGACTTATCCTGGGAACAGAGGTGTCAATGGGACAGTACAGTCAGTGTTAGAGGCAGCAGTTTGTCTGTAGCTAGCTGAGGCCTTACTGTTAGGACATAGCCTCAATATTTCTGTTGTTTACAAGTGCCTTGAGCAGACCAGAACATGAAAGAAGTGTAGATAGCACATACTTTCCCTATTCCTCTGTGTCTTTGTCATGGTAGTGTATCTCCCAGCAAGGGGTTTGTCTTGGAGCTGTACAACAAGGCGGTTCTGAGAAGAGATTATAAAATAAATACATCTGTTTGTCAACAACATGACTTTTGTCTTTTTCTCTGATCAGGAAGCCTGTTACTGGAGTGCTGATATAAGTGATTCATGGTTAGAGGGTGCAGATGTGAGTATTAGGACTGCAGGCCTGACGGATAAGATTGAGTTACTTAAAGGTTCTGTGAAAGGTATGTCTGTTGTATGCGAAAGGCTTTCCAAGCGAGATATATTTGATGTGTTTTTTGTGGTTCTGGAATTATACAGGTAACAGAGGTTCTCTTGAGGGTGATGTAAAGTAGAGCTAACACTCAACAAAGTGAGTAGTGACTCCATAGTGCTAGTGAATGGATAATTGTTTGTTCCCCCCTTCTCGCCTCTCGGAACTTTGTCAAGAATAAACTGAACAGAAGACATTGAAAATAAGAATTGTCAGACATGGGCAGTAGTTGTCTGTCTTAGTGGTAAATTTGTGAATACCACAGAGACTACATACATGTGAGAGGGGTTTTTTTTTGTCTGATGGGAACACAGTGAGGACAAATCCAGATAAAATGTGGCTTGTAACTTAAATTTACCAGATGAATAGTAGTGGGGACTCATTAAGCTCAGTGTTGAATTGATGATGTTTTGCAGTAGAAGTATTTAAATGACAATGCCTTTCTTCTGGAATTAGGAATCTGTTTGCTCTCAGTTCATGTGTACTCTGAGGAGAAGGCAATGACCTTGTTCTGGACCTCAAAGCCCAAGTCTAGGTTAGTCCTATTTGTGACAGACAAATCTCTATTTTTCCCTGTTCAGGGGTGATGAAGTATGCATATTTTTTTTTTGCTTGCAATATTTATTTCTTACCGGCATGGTAAGAAATATTATTGGTAAGTATATATATAGCTTTCTTACTTGCTTAAAAGCCCTGATTTGCCTTGGCTTCTAGGAAAGCTAAGGCCCAGTTAGAATTAAA